AAAAAAACCATTACTTTATGGAGATTTTCCTTTATCAATACGTTCAACATCATTAAAATTAGTTCATTTAATATTAATTATATTTGCTAATCAAGCACAACATTTACCTATATCACATGATTATTATTCTTCTTCTATTCAAATACCTTAACAACAACCAGTTAGGGATAAATTTGATAGATTCATTGTAAATAAAATACTTGATTATATAGTTAGTTTATTTTCTGAATCCGTACTAGATCAATTAGCAGATAAAACATTAATACCAATAGATTTTGATGATTATTTACATGTATTTGATGATAATGAAGTAGAAGGAGAAGTAGTTGAAGAATATAAAAAAATCAGCAGTTGTTGCTGAAAATACATTTGAAACATTTCTTTTAAAAAATGTCTATACCACAGATAAAGTTCCATCAACAACAGATATAATTTATATGAAATATAAATAATCTAAAAAAAGAATTTTTATTTTTTTAAGATAGAAATTCTCTGACACCATCAAATCATCGTTAATCTAGTCGTGGATCTTGATCGTTACAATTACCATCTTTTAGTCCAGTATTAAGTCGTCGTTCATCAGTATCTATAACAAGTTCACATGCAACAAATTTATGTCATTTATCCGATAAGACTCTTCGTTCATATGTAACAACAATTCAAGTTGTATTTTTATCTCGTGTATCATCAGAACTTGTATTACAATTGGCAACTAAATTTCGTTTCATATCTTATAATTTAGCTATTTTCTCTTATGCACATCATTTATATTTAAATCTTTTAATACCATCTGATATTCATACACGTATTGATCAACTTCCACAAATAAATAATACAAGTAAATTTAATAAAAAACGTTTAACAAATGTTTTACGAACAATGACAATAACATCAACGAATGATGAACAAACAAATACAATTGATTCATATATAAATATGGACCATAGTTTATTTTAACATAAACTTTAACTTATTCAATTGTTTAGTATTGACATATGTCTAACATATAATGTTATACATATTGATATCCTATA